CCTCTGTAGAGGTTCTACTGTAGTTTAAGGCAGAGGGAGCAGGGGGCTGGTGTTACCTGTCCATAGCGAGCGGCGTAGTGGATCAGACTGGGATGCTCTCTGGTGCAGCTCAGCTCTGCTATGGCCTCCGTCTCGCTCACCATCCACCTCACACACTCCAGATGCCCGTTCTGCAAACGTCACACACACATTCGGTTTCACTGAAAGCGACCGGCCCCTTTCGTCCCCCGTTCACAGGAATTATTCCACCTGGTAAAAGCAAGACAAACATCTTTTTCTTTAAGAAATCTGTCAAGAAGCTGTTTAAACTAAAACTCTCAGGGTTCTTTCTGAGTTAAAGCCCAAAGAGGAGCAGCTAAAGGCTCCTTTTTTTTCTCAGAAGCAGCCTAAACTTCATCTCTCTGCTCTAAACAGCAGACTTTTTCCAACTAAATCTGGTTGTTTCTGGTTTATTTTTAGCCCCTTTATGCTAATTTTTATGTTTTTTTGGTTATTTTTCCTAAAAAATTGCTGAAATATGGCGATTTTTATGTGTTTTTTAAATTTATTTAGTTTTTCTTGCTTGTTGTCATGAATCAGTTTTAATCAAACAAAGCTTATTAGTTTTTCCTGTTTCCATCGGCCAAGTTTGACTTAATCTATTCTGACTGGTTCTGGACGCTTTCTGGACACAAAACAAGGAACTATCTTTATTTGTGTTAAAAATCAGCAGCTAAAGGCTCTTTTTCCCCTCAGAAACAGCCTAAACTTCATCTCTCTGCTCTTGATAACAGCTTCCACTCTTCCTCTGCTTGTTTTTCTCTCCTTTCTGAAAGTTTCTCTGGTTATTAAGCCCCACAGAGTTTCCAGCTGTTCTCTCAGACTTGCTCTTGATGAAACCTTTTTGTGACCAGTGTCTGAATCTCCTGAATCCCACATGGTCATCAGTTTAAGGGTGTCCCAGCTTTCCTCCAGCACCTGAATGCACCACATAGACTGAAACTGAGCAGTTTGATGCTGAAAAGACTCTTAAAGGCACATGTGAGCTCGTAAACTGGTCCGTGCACGTCAGGCTGTGCATGTGCACGTATGTAAGGAGTCTTTTTCAACAGGAAGTGATCACATTTGTGAGTCTGGAGGTGAAAATCTGTGGACAATGTTCATGTTTATGTTAGTTTTAGGTGTTAAAGTTACACTCAAAGTCCATTTTCCTTCCATAAAATCTGTCATGCTGCTAGTCTGAACGAATAAACAAGTGTCCTGGCGATAAGAGCCAATCAGGAATCGGCACACAGCTGCCCGGCTTGTCTGCAGATAACACACTTCCTGTCCTGAGCTCAGTTTCCAGCCCGGCCTCCACAAACCGGCCTGTTTTTAACCAGCACAGCCGCTGGAAAACCTTCAAATCGTCTTATCAAAAGCCTCCATCTCAGTCCCGATGACCTCACTGCCCGGCCGCTAGTCAAAAGTCTGTTGACAGATGTTTTTCTTCCACCTGCTGCTGGATTACAGCTGGATAACAATCACACACAAACATCTGCTCCATCAGCCCTCAGAGGAAGGCTCATTCTGGCCCTTCCTCCACACACAAAGTCACAGAAAAACTCCTTTTACCCTCTGTGGATGTTCACAAACGGGGTTTTATGATCTTGTTATCCATGTAGCAGAACCACAGAACCGGGTCAGAGGCTCAGCTGGACCTCCAGTTAGAGAGGAGCAGACAGAGGGGAGCCATCAGGGCTCCAGTACTTACAGTAGAAAACAGCAGAAGCATTTAAGAAAGGTGAAAAATACCCAGAAAAAACACAGTTTTCTTCTGTTTCCCCCACAGAGCGACAGAATCAGCCAAAAAGCTTCCTGATGCTCTCAGTTTGACTTTGAAAATTAACAACTTCTGCTCTTGTCTGAAGTAATCAACCAAAGGAAGTCCTGATGCAGCACAAGAAGGCAGTTAAACACAATCTTTCTCTAATGAGTGCAAACTAAATACAACTGTGAATCCCTGAAAAATAAAGCACAGCTTTAAATAAAAATCGAATTAAACTGAATTATTATTGAATTATAAATAAAATTAGAATTTTGATTATTAAATAAATCAAGTTTTTATATTAAATATAATATCTAAATTACTATATCTTTATTATCATTATTATTATTATTATTATCATATAATGCATATAAATTACTACTATGAATAAAATAAATATATCTTAATCTATATAAATTATATGTATTTAAAATTGAATGGTCAAACAATATAATATAAATAAAAGCAAGAAAAAGAAAAAAATACATACATTATATATAAAATGTACATGATTTCATATAAATAGAACTGAATGCTCAAAATAAACTAAAATACTCAAATAAATATTCAGCAAACCTTTGGATGTTGAATACCTTTAACATTCTTCAATAATCTGCTTCTAGTGTTTTAAGAATGATCCAAACTAGTGAAAACGGGGGGGTGTTCTATTCAAACAGGCTGTTACCAGGGAAACAGGGCTGCTCTGAACCCCCCCGTTAGCACTTGGTACTTTCCTCTTGATAAATCTAACCCCAGACTGGATGAAATGAACAGGCCGAACCGGCTCTGATAATCCTCCCCGACCCCTGACCCCTGACCCCTGACCCCTGGGCGCTGACCTTGACCCCCAGGCCGGCGGGGGTGAGCTGCTGGCTGTTGCGCTCGTTGAGGCCGTCCTCCCCCATCAGGGAGGTGAGGTGCTGCAGGCAGTCGGCGTGGCCCTGAGAGGCCGACACGTGCAGCAGGTTGTTCCCGTCCTCGTCCCGGATCAGCTCCAGGTTATCGGCCGCCAGGTGAGGCTGGGGGGGGGGGGGGGGG